TACTAAACATTGTTCTTGGGAAGCCTGGGTGGCTCAGCAGTTCAGCATCTGCCTTTAGCCATGGTCATGATCCCGAGGGTCCTGGGATCAAGTCCCATATTGGGCTCCTGGCAGGGAGCCTGCTTCTCCCTCTGCCTGTGTCTCTGCCTCTCTCTCTGTGTCTCTCATGAATAAATAAAATCTGAAAGAAAGAAATAAAGAAAGAAAGAAAGAAAGAAAGAAAGAAAGAAAGAAAGGAAAGAAAAGGAAAGAAAGAGAAGAAAGCTGCTAGAAATTTGAGTCATTTTTACCTGTTCAAGAAACTAAACAATTAAGAAATCAGTATTTTATCAATGTAGCTTTGGAGAAAGAGAATTGATTAGGTGACAGAGCCCTGTGAAAAATTTGAGTTCATATGCTCAGATTCATAACAAGATACTTACAAAAACTACCATAGTAACTATCTGAAATATTGCTATTTCATCTCTCAGGTTGGCAGAGATCAAAAAGTTTTAAAAACAGGTAGTGAGGGCATGGTGTGTCATACATTTTCTTAATTTGGTCTGAGTGACCTCCATGGAGAAAGACTTGCCAATGCCTCCCACGATTACAGATGCACATACCATTTGACCCAGTGATTCCGCTTCCAGGAATATATCCTACAGGTAGACTGACACGTGTGCAAAGCAACGGATGCCAAGGTTAGTCACTATTGTGTGTTCTGCCAAAGTACTGGAACTACCTCAGTAGGAGACTGGCGTGATCAATCATGCTACCTCCACTCAAATATTGCACAGCTGAAAAATAAACCAGGAAGCTTTTTTGGTTGTTGTTCTGATACTATAGAAAAATCTTTATATATTTAAGCAAAACAAAACAAACAAATAAAACAAAACCAGGTTTGCAAAATATATTGTGGACTATCATGGACGTAATGTATTTACTAACAGCAGAGAATGTTTTTGGAAGCATTTCATGCACAACTTGCAATATCGGAGTGCCCAGGGAAGGGAAGTGGCTAGCTGGGGACATGTGTGAAAAGGCAACTTTTGTACTTTCAAACTCTGAAACATGTCAATGTGCAATTTTTTTTTAATCTGATTTTTGAAAAAGCTAAAGCAGATTTTCTAAATTCTGCAAAGTCTACTTTTAATGAAGCTTGAGGCTGGTCAAGGACAGCCTGGTGAAGTCTCAAACCTTTGCAGGGAGGTCAGTGCCACATGGATGCAGACCAACCCAGGGCAAAGAAGGATTTGAGAAGACTGAGCATTGTTTCCTCTCCACTGGAGGGTAGAGCGCTCGTATTTAGAAGTCCCATTAGTTATTCAATGGGGCAATGAATTTACAGTCTGAAATGAAACATATTCCTGGGGATTATTTTTCTGATGGACCCAATTAAATTTCTGGGAAATTATTCTGTAAGTCTGTGGCAGCTACGATTCTTCTCTGAGCTCCCCACTGTGGTGTGTTCGCTCTCTCAAGATGAAGGGCCATCCTCTTCCCAACTCCTGGAGGAGACAGAAAAGGGCCATAGGAGCCGGTGTTTCTTCCTTTATTTTCTTTTATTCTCATTGGGGATTTAGGGTTGCTTTGCTGAAATCAAAGAAGACAGGATCCCTTGGGACATGGTTAAAAGCCAAACCTGGGGACACAGCCTAAAAGAAACAAGTCTGAGATGGGGAAAATACTGGATCCTAAGTATTTTCATTATTCTGAAAATAAGAAAGCTGTCACTGATGGAGAGCTGCTAACACAGCCATCAAAGATTGAGAATATAGGAGATACCTTTTGTTACTCATAAATTGCGTATTCCAAGAATGATGTAGAGCCAAGAATGAGTGTCAAGATTGGTATTTTTAAAGACTAAGATTTCCGGAACAAAAAGGCTTGTGATCTAAAGCATTTATTTCCACAAGATGGTGCTATAGCTTCTGCCAAAGAGGACACTCATTTGCTTCAGGAGCTAGAAATCCTAAATATACTTTTGATGGGAACCAGATCTCTGTGTTGTCTGGTGAATCTGTCAGAGAAGCACATTGTGAAAAAAAAAACGTTCTGGTGGGAGTTGATTCGGATCAAAAGGGTGAATGAAGGTTGTTTAGGTAGGAACACCTCTCACCACCTCCACACATCCCCAAGTGGATGTCATAAGGCTTCGTGCTCACCTTCAGCCCCTCCTTTTCCAAAGGGCTGCTCTTACCACTGTTGGGCGTGTATGTGTGTCAGGAATGGAACCTGGGAATGACCCAGTCATGGAAATATCTCTCCCACACCTACCCACAGTGTGCACCCAGGGGCGGCTCTTCAGTAGAACTTTCCCTACCACTCTGGCCCACATTAGTCATACTTTCCTTTGAATTTCCCTGGCATTTGGAATATTATTTTACCATTTCTGTGTGAATTCTCCACGTTCTTTTGAGACAGAATCCGTGTCATAATTGCTTCTGTATATCCCCTATATAACGACAAGCATTCTACCTTGAATTTGTGCATAGCACTGAGACTGTGAACAGAGGCAATCTAAGTGTTCAATGACCTTGGTTGGTAGCCTAAGTAATTGGGAAGATGGCTCAGCCCCAGCTGGCCACTGCCTAAGAGTGAGGAGTGTGATCTCCTAAGTCACAACTTCTCCAAAGTTATTTGATCATCTCTAAAGGGATAGGATTAAACAGCCCTCCTAACTGTGTTTTTCTTTTTAATGTTTCTGTGCCTCTTTGCCTCGAAATCAGAAGTGTGACACGGTGATACACGGCTCTCGTTTGTTATCAGAACCTCTTTACCCCCCCCCGGGGAAGAAAGAGCAGGTAAGTGGGAACCTAGGGGCAGAGCAACAACAGGATACCCTGGGCCCACTCTTATAAACAAATACATGTCTATGTGGTTTACAAATAAATGAAACACTTGTATGTTGGGGATACCTGTTGAATTTTTTTTTAATAGAAGGTAGGATAAAAGATGTCTTAAAACCACTGCTATAAATCAGAGGGTCTCCATTATCATTAGGCACCCAAATCAGCAAGGAGCTATTTTTTCAATACTTCTGCTTGACCCCACACCTACAGAATTTTGAGCAAAGGCAAATTCATAAAGCTCAGCAGGTGACTGTGATGGAAGCCTCTGGTAAAGAACCACTGCTCATGTCACAGTTCCCAGATCTGGACTCTCAAAGTCTTAATCACATGGGGCACTTAAAAGCAAACAACAGCCAACAAGAACAGCAAAATCTTTCCTGGAGATTGTGCTAATTTGCCAGGTTTGAGAACCATGGATATAAAGCCAGAACTCCTCTAAGTGGATGCCATCAGTTTTAGTCTCTTTATAAAAGGGGATCCTCACCCCCATCCTTATTGTCCAAAAATCTTGGGTGGAAAACTTCTGAAACATCCTGAAACTAAATACACACCAAAACGCAAGACAATTTGAATAATGGCACTTCTGGGGATTGCCTACTGCAGCGTAAGATAGGATCCGGCCCTTTCCATGACCGGTGGCACTCTACATTGCTGTGACCATTCTGTGGAAACACCGGGTCATTCTCAGACAGTATTTACCAGATATTTTAGAGATTCAATTGAATAAGGTGCAGAAGCATCTATATTTTCCTCTGATATCTGCACCCAAGTTAAAAAATACACCTACAGGAGGAATTTCAAAAACTACGAGTCTCCAGAGACCAGGGGAGAGTGTGGAGTCACATAACTGGACGATGAAGGGGCTCATGAGCCATGCATGCTACTGAGTTTTAGACTTTATAGTTTCAGAGATGGGGCTCCTCTAAAGGATTTTGTTCAGTTTTACTGAGGTATAATTGACAAATAAACATGATATATATACATATATATATTTAAAAAAACATGATATATATTGAAGGTGTACAACTAGATGTTGCAATAGGTGTAGACATTTTGAAATGGTCACCAAAATCAAGCTGCATAACATACCCATCACCCTACATAGTTAACATTTTCTTCTCTTCCTTCTCTACCATTTCTTCCCCATACCTCATGTTAAATCCACACCATTTGCCCTTCCCTGCATAGAATGTTTTCAGGATTCTATTTTCACACATCCCATTTCTGATGTTGGTATATCTTTCCTCAATTCCCCTCTCCACCAGGTACAGAGTAGTTTTTTAGGACAAGTCAACTCTAACAACACCTTATCCATTAAGATTTCTTATTCCCCAAGCAGTGCTCTGTCCTTTATGCCCGCTGTTGCACTGTGTGTATATCTCCACACTTATCACACTCTGATATCATTATTTGCTACTTTTTTCTCTCCTTGATTAGACTGAGGGCTCCTTGGGGCAGAGACTTGGTCTTTGTATATATCTGGTTTCCAAAAAAATGCATATTGAGTAAATGCATTTTTTAAAATGAATTTCTACCTTGAGCCACACTAAATTTAGGCTAGGGCCAAGTGCAAAGGCGGAGAAAGGAAATAAAGGGAAGACCAAGGATGGGAAAGGAAAAATGTGTTTATCAGAATAGAACAGGACAGCTATGCACCACAGCATCCATGTCAGGGTGAATTTAAAGAAGGATGGAGAGACCATGGTCAGCCAACTTAAGAACAGAGTTCAAAGTCACTTCTAAAAGGTCCAAAGGGGGTCATGGGATCAGGCAAAAAGCAGAGTCAGAAAAGCCAGAGCAGTATTCAAAGAACTAGCACAGGATCAGCTGAGAGTCAGAGTCAACCAAGTGAGAAACCATGTAGCCAATAACACCGGATGATGTCTGGTCAGTGTAGCGAGGACCCAGGCATAACTCAGTGAGTTCCTGCTTTGAAAAAGGTCATTGTAATTCCTTCAGCCCTGCTACCCAGAACTACACAGGACAGTACCCTGTCCTTCTCATCTCCATGGCTGGATCTCAAAGGCACTGTCTCCAGTGAAAATGTCTAGAACCTACACTTTTTCTTCCCCCTTCTAATATAGCTCTTGTTTTAAAATAACTTTATGTTGAATCTGCTCACCTTTCCCAACTCTTATCACCTTGTTATTGTAAATTTATTCATTCAACATGCATAACTATCAGGCAGTGCTAGGAAAGGAAACTAACCCGTATCAATCACCTTCTACACTTGCGGTAAGGTGACCTCTATAGGATCCCATTCTGAAGCGCCACAGCTACCCAGTGAGGCAGGTATTGTTAAATAGTATCATATCCCCATTTAGGACATTAGGGAGATGAAGCACAGGAAAGTTAAAGACGCCACATTTTGCATGAAGTGAACGGTGAAGCCTGGATTCAAATCTACCCCAGCCTGAATCTAAATCCCATTCTTTTTCCACTGTATCATTCTCTCTCCTCTCTAGAGCTTCACAGAAGAAATATAAGCCCAAATGAAATATCAAAATCTTAGGGTAGCATGAAAGGCTTGATCAGGAAGTCAAGGCACCATGAGCAGCATCAAGAAATGGAAAAGAAGAATAAAATGAGAACCATGGTTTGCAAAGTCAAGGGAAGAGGAGCCTAGAAGGATGGATCAGTCCCCAAAAGTGTACACCCTGCAGACAGAGAGGCCCGGGGAAGAAGCCAACCCCCTAAGGGAGACGTTTTAACTTTCCTATATCTCACCACTACCTGAAGAGTCAGGGCCAGCCTTGTATCCTTAACTTGCTGGACAAGAGCCCAGAGGTTATTGAATCAAGGGTGGTGACCTAAAAAAAAAAAAAAAAAAAAAAATTTGCTGATAGGTCAGAGCCAGTAGAACAAGAGGAGTCTGTTCTGTGAGACCTGACATTCAGGGGAAACTAAGGCACAGAGAGTGTCACTGGGAAGAACCATGTCAGGATGGAGGGGAGTAGAAAGAATAGCCAGGCTGGTTTCCCAGGCAGCTCCAGCACGTTGGGGTGCATTGCCCACGCCCAGGAGGCAGCACAGAATAGCAGGGATCTCCTTGCTTTGCTCCCCCACCAGAAATCAAGGGCTCCCTGGTGCCCCCTGAACTGAGTTTTCTCTCCTAGGCCAGAAAGAGTTTTAGGGTAAACTCTGACTTCCTGCACTCCCTGTTCTCAGCCTCTCGCTGAGCTTCTGACACTTGCTAGGCCTGCCCTTACAGACCTGAATGCCTAATGGTGCTTTCCTCATTGCTTCCCACACCTTAATGCAGTAAGCTTTGAGTAGGCTGGAGGATGCTGAACTGTGTAGGGCTTAACCCTTCAGGGTAGCAGTGACCAAAGCAGCACATTGTGTGAACACAGAGATGCTTCAGGACTTTATTGGAGAAAACACCGTTCTACCTTAATGGTGATCTACCTTAAAGTCTTCAAAAATGTGGGTAGGCGTGGTCAGCAGGATCAATGGGGCAGTCCACAGCACGGTAATCTGGAAATGGTCTAACCCACTAGATATTTGGGCTCACAGATCATGGCATTCCCAAGAACAAAACAGAGAGCCTATGAAGATCGTACTTGGCTTATAGCACCATGGAAATCCCTGGAGTAATGAATGGGGCAGAGAAGGGCATTCTAGGTCTGCCTAGAATAAACATATGGAGAATCTCTGTCCCTGTAGGTGAGGGATTGTGTGTGTGTGTGTGTGTGGCCACCCCACAGATCACTGTGGCATTCTTTGAAGTCTATGGAGAGGCATAAAGTTAGACCCCCTCAAGCGTGGCCTACAGAATATAAGGTTTCCCTGGGAGAATCAGTAAAAAAAAAAAAAAAAACGGACAAGCATGAGAAAACCTGAGACATAGGTACTTGACTACACACACGTCCTGGGAAGAATACAGAAGGAATACATGCGCCCATGATATATAAGCGACCTGAAACGAACTTTAAAAGTACAGAAGCAAGCAGCTAGAACTCAGAGGAAAGACAGACGTGGCCGCGCTGGCTTAGGGACGCACGTGCCTAGGCCCCGAGAGCTGGAGACAGGTGGACCTCCAGGGAGGTAAAGCGCTCGGACCCAAAACCTCAGACGTTCGGAGACACGCATCAGCCAATAGCTAACGGGGCGTGAGCGGGGATCCAGGCCGGGCTTCGGGGCGACCTGGACCAGACACAGAAGAGACACCCGGGCGGATCGCGGGGGCCCGCGCGCCCCCCGGGCAGCCCCCCGACCCCGTGTGCGCCCCCGCCCGCGACCTCCGAGCGCCCTGACCGCCCCCTCCGGGCGGCCCCCAGTGTGCGCCCCGCGCCCCCTCCCGCGCCCCCGCCCGCGACCTCCGAGCGCTCTGACCCCCGGGCGGCCCCCCGTGTGCGCCCCGCGCCCCCTCCGCGCCCGCCGCGGCCTCCGAGCGCCCTGACCCCCGGGCGGCCCCCCGTGTGCGCCCCGCGCTCCCTCCTGCGCCCCCGCCCGCGGCTTCCGAGCGCCCTGACCCCCGGGCGGCCCCCCGTGTGCGCCCCGCGCTCCCTCCTGCGCCCCCGCCCGCGACCTCCGAGCGCTCTGACCCCCGGGCGGCCCCCCGTGTGCGCCCCGCGCCCCCTCCCGCGCCCCCGCCCGCGGCCTCCGAGCGCCCTGACCCCCGGGCGGCCCCCCGTGTGCGCCCCGCGCTCCCTCCCGCGCCCCCCGCCCCGCGGCGACCTCCGAGCGCCCTGACCCCCGGGGGGCCCCCGTGTGCGCCCCGCGACCCTCCTGCGCCCCCCGGAGCCCCCGCCCGCGGCCTCCGAGCGCCCTGACCCCCGGGCGGCCCCCCGTGTGCGCCCCGCGCTCCCTCCCGCGCCCCCGCCCGCGGCCTCCGAGCGCCCTGACCCCCGGGCGGCCCCCCGTGTGCGCCCCGCGCCCCCTCCCGCGCCCCCGCCCGCGGCCTCCGAGCGCCCTGACCCCCGGGCGGCCCCCCGTGTGCGCCCCGCGCTCCCTCCTGCGCCCCCGCCCGCGGCCTCCGAGCGCCCTGACCCCCGGGCGGCCCCCCGTGTGCGCCCCGCGCTCCCTCCTGCGCCCCCGCCCGCGACCTCCGAGCGCTCTGACCCCCGGGGGGGCCCCCTGTGTGCGCCCCGCGACCCTTCCTGCGCCCCCCGGGAAGCCCCCCGCGCCCCTGCCCACGACCTGCGAGCGCCCTGACCCCCGGGCGGCCCCCCGTGTGCGCCCCGCGCTCCCTCCTGCGCCCCCCGCGCGCCCCCCGCGCCCCCGCCCGCGGCCTCCGAGCGCCCTGACCCCCGGGCGGCCCCCGTGTGCGCCCCGCGCCCCCGCCCCCCGTGCGGCCCCCGCGCCCCGCGCCCCGCGCCCCGGGCTCCCCTCGCGGCCGCCCGCCCGCCCGCCGCCCGCCACTTCCCAGCCGTGACGCGGGAGCCGCGGGCTCACCAATGGGGCTCGAGCGCGGCCCGGCCCCGCCCCCCCGGGAAGGTGTGTCCCCCTTCCCACACCTGAAACTTCCGAGGAGAGCGGCGGCCTCCTCCCGTCCGGCGAGGGCGGGCCGCGGGGGGCGGGCGGCGGCAGGGCCTGCGCGGGGACGGCCGGCGCCGGGGACCCGGAGGGGCCTCTCGGCCGAGACAGCATGTGACGCTGCCAGGTGGGTGCTCCCCGGTCGCCGCTCGGGCCGGGCCGGCGGCTGTTCGAGCCCGGCGGAGGGGGTTGGGCCCGTGGGCGCGGGGGAGCAGGGCCTGCGCCCCGGGCCCGGCCGGCCGGCTCGCGGGGCACCCGCTCCGGAAACGGGGGGCTGGGCCGACGGCAGAGCCGGGTGTGACCGCGGCCCCAGGTCTGCGGGAGGGAAGCTGGAGGAAATGCTCCTGCCTGAAAAACTTGCTTCCGGCCTGGCCCCCGCCCCCAGATGTTCCCTGGGCCCGTGGTCGGGGCCCTTCCCTCAAAGGCTCGGGCTCTGGGGACACCTGCCCCCGTAGGAAGAAGTCACTGAGCCTCCCCTTGTGGCCCTGTTCCCAATCCAGACGCGTCTTATTGTCTCCTTTTTCTTACCCAGGCCTGGGCCCTTCCTTCGTGAATCTTCCTATGGATTCGCACACTGCGTGTGTCTAAGTACACGCCTCTCCCCGTTGGCCCAGGCGCCCGAACCCGTAAAGGTGACTCCAGCCCTGCCCCCACCCTATTTCTTCCCTATATGCGAAGAACTTCCAAAGCTCGTGTGAACCGTGACTTTGCATTCTGAAGTTGGGGAGTGCGAAGGGAGCTCCTTGAACTGGGGGGGTGGGTGGGGAGGTCCGGGGGTGGGGGCGGGGGTGTGTGTGCTAGAACAGGGCCGGTTCTGAGCATCCTTTACAGTTGCCTTCCCCGCAGGACTGTCCTGGGAGACCTAGTCCTGATGCCAGTGGATTTCCAGACCTCAGGTGCTCTCCCTTTCCTGGATCTTGGATTCCCAAGACAGATTTGCCCTCCTGTCTACCTAAGAAGTGAACTCTGGCCAGGACTCTTGTCAGATTGAGGGGGAAGGGTGTGTCAGACAGACCAGGGAGAGAACTTTCTTTTCCACTTTCTTGCCTGCTTTGCTCCCCGATTTGACCATTCCCGGTCTTGCATCCTTGGCCCACTCCAGAAGCCCCAGCTCCCAGCTAAACAACCCCGGATGTGGCCTCTTTCGCAGACTTCCTGTTTTATCTACACCTGGAGTGTGAAGGAGCTCTGGGTCTAGGCACTGGCAAAGTGGGGAATTATTGGTTAACCAATTTGGGTTAACACAAACTCAAGCCGTGTCTACTGGGGACATTCTTGGAGGCTGAGGAGGAGGAAGGTTTCAAAGAGAGACTGTTTGGCAGGAGGATTGCCTGTTAGTATCCTAGTGGAGAAGAGCGGGAAGTCAGGAGGTTTGCAGAGGAATCCCTCTTATTAAAAGAAAATAGTAATTCTAAGTATAGTCAAGAGTTGTCATGTATTAGGGGTCCCCAGTGTGTATGGCTTCCCCTAACATAGTTGGTCTGAGGTTGTCTGTGGCCTATGGTGTCTGTAGGATAGGCAGGAACATGTCATTTGTGGTGTCTGTCACTACGTGGTATGGACAAGAACGGGGTCACACACAGGATCATGGGTTGAACAGGAGCAGTGTTGCTCAAGTGTCACTGGTGTAGACTCAAACGGGCGACGTACAGCATCTGGTGTAGACAGGGATGAGTCACCGTGTCTGTGGAGTGAACAGGAGCTGGTCATTTATAGGACCGAACAAGGTCACCCTCAGGGTCTACGGTAAGGACACAAAGAGGTGGCTCACATTCACTTTATCTCTGTGGATGGCACCAGGGCCACAGATGGATTTGTGGGGCGGACGTCAGCATCGCCGCTAATGATGTTCGGAGTCAGCCCATGGGGTCTACAAGGCAGTGGATAATGTATTTTCAGACATTAGGGAACAGATAAGAGATGTTTATTTCAGTCTTCATTGGGATGGAGGAGCTTTCCTCACGTGGATAGAACACAGGTGTTAGCAGTCAGTGGCCCAGAAGGCTACTCTGATTTTCATGTCTTTGTCAATTGGGGACATTCATGTCAAACAGTGAATAATGACATACAGCTCCATGGTGGTCTAATTTTTCTGAATCAGAATGAGAGTATTTTGATTTGGGAGGGGTTTTCCTAAGGCGAGCAACAGTATAGGCGCTAGTGTAAATTCAGTAGTATTGTAAGTACTCAAGAGTACTGCAGCGATTTGTGGTATAAGCCAGCATATCTGAACCTGGCACGGCTACCAAATCCAGGAAGCACGATCCTCGAAAAAACAAAAACAAAAACAAAAAAAACACATGCACTCAACACCGGTTTGAAGAACAAGCAGCGTGGCAGGGAGGAGACGATATCTTTGAGATACAATTCTCTGGTGAGTAGACATGGACAAGGCTCAGGTGTGGGGGGCCCCGGAGGACACACTGAGCTCTCTCACTCACTAGGGACTTGGGGCCTGGTCTTGAAAGAAGTTGCATGTGGACAGGGTCAGCAGGTGCAGAAGGTGCCTGGTCCGGAGGAAGGCCAGATGACCGTGATGCCATGCCCCATCTTTGCCTGTGCGCACACAAACAGTGATTACTCACCCCTGGTGGAGAAGGGGATGAGGAGGGAACCTCAAATGGGCGATGCAGAAAGGCTCTCCCCTGATGGCTTTGTGCGGGCGGAACCACGTTCTGCAGATTTCCTTCAGCTTTCTCACATTGTCGCTTTGTCTTACGTTGCAATCAGATTACTAGGACGGGATCAGGTACAGGGGACATAGGATACGTTCTTCCTTTGTGGTAAATGGTGGCTGATCTGGTGACTACCAGTATTTCCAAATGGATAAAGGCGGTGCTAGAAATAGTGTCAGCGGGCTTGCGGGAGACAGACACGCGTCACGTAACTCGAATGGAACTGAAGGTGTCCATGGACCCCAGGGCGCCTGGGGATGCAGCCTGAATAGAGAGGGCAGACAGACGTGTATCTAGAAGCTTCTTGTTTGGGGGACATGAGCATGCCCATGGGTACAGGGCAAGGACAATACAGGTGTGGGTGAGGGGAGACTTCAGGTGTAGGCACAGCCTCCTTCCCTCCTTAGCCAAGTTCCAGAAAGTGCGGTGAGCAACTCTAGTATTTAATGTGTGGTTGAGAGAATAGGGTCACGTCACGGTATCATCTCGTGATTATAGTATTTTGTACTTCGGTCTAGAAACGGGGAGCAAATCACACACTGTGTCAGTTAACTGGAAAGGGACATGAAAGCCCTTCTCACAAGTGTGCTTATGTTGGACATGGCTCTTTGCCCCATATAGATGGTATCTGCGTCTCTGGGGTGGCCAGGAACTTGTCACACACAACATCTCCAGGGTGGCTTGGGACCTGTCTGTTTGGTTATGTCAGGCTCTATTGCATAGGAACTGCAAGGGCGGCTTATTGCGTGTGTGTGCGCGTGTGGATGGGTGCTCGCGCAAGGGTGCTTGTGAAAGCGTGGGTGCTTGTGCAGTCTCTCGGCAGGACAGCAGGCATTCTGGGTGGTGGGCTTTGGCTTGAAGCCTAGTGGAGGCAGGAGATGCGCGGCTCCAGGGACAGCTGTGGGTTCCATAGCCCCCCCCCACCACCCCCCCCCCCCGGGTCTTCTCTAGGCCAGGACCTGCCAGCTTCTTACAGCTGGGCTTCCGGTTGCCTACAGTAGACGTAAGGTTGGACACTTTGGTTTGAGGTCACCTGTACCATTTACTTAAGAAGTTTGAGCAAGTGTCCAGGTTTGGGACCTTCAGCTTGCCCATCTGCAAGTGAAGCGGAGCTTCTTGTGTGTCTCTAAAGGTTCTCCCAACTCATAAAATCCTGCATTTCTCTTTTATACTTTCTCTCTCCTCCACAGTAATTACAATCCCCGACACTCCTGTGACTCTTAAAGTTAACAGGGTACTTTTTAATGTCACTTAACCTTCGTTAGAAATCCTTGCAAAGAAAGAGTTCAAACCCTTTCGTAAAATGAGAAAACGGGTGTTCACATAAATGATTTCTACGATTGTCTAAAAGGACACACAAGGCAGATACAAGAACTGAGCAACCTGCCTTTAACTCCGTCGTCTTCCTTTCTTCACTCATGCAATAAATCTTTGTTGAGGGCAAGCGAAGCTGCAGGCGGTGAGGCAGAGGATGAATGTGGCAGCGTCTGTGCCCTTACGAAGCTCACGCTCTAGCCCGGAAAATAGACATTAAATGTGTAATTACAAGTGCAGTGAGTGTGAGAGTAGCAAAGGGTTCGCTGGGGCAGAAGAGGATTCCAGGCAGGGGAGCAGCACATGTGGAGGCAGGGGGTGGGGGTGCCCACAGCTGTTGAGGCCCCTGCAGGGGAAGCAGAGGTGAGGCGAGGAGGGCACATAACCCAGGGTGAATATTCGGGTTTCGTCCTGGTGGCAGTCAGAGGCTGCTGGAGATTTTACACTAGAAGTGGGGCATGTAAGGATCACTGCCCTGCGGAGTAGAGAATGTCTTGGCCATAGCGCAAGGGGACCTGTGTGAAGGCCAGTGGCCAGGCTGTGCCCCGGGTACAGTGGCCTGGGTGAGAGAGGACAGGAGAGGGCACCAGGGTCTAGCGGTGCCGATGGAGAGAAGTGGACAGGCTCCAGGGATAAGGAGGAGGTGGCCTCAACAGGACTTGGCCGCAGATTCCATCTGGGGAAGGCGGG